ACACACACACACACACACACACACACACACACATTTAAAATGCACCAATTACTTTAAAGAATGGGAACTTTATGATTTAATTCACCTTAATATTTACATTTCCGGCTTAATTCCAACAAATTATGTCTTTTAGCACATAATTTTAATTTTACTGTTTATAAAGATATATACCTTTTGGATTTTCTTGTACTTGTAGATGCATTTATGTCTCATATTACAATGATGAGTTTTATTTATTTATTTTTTAGTTGGTTTAAAATTGTCTTCCCCCTGCAGGTATTGATGAGCAGGGCTTGTACAGAATCGTTGGTGTTAACTCCAAAGTACAAAAACTGCTGAGCCTGGCTATGGGTAAACACAGGAACACACGCCACAGAACACATACAGATCAGTCAAGTCCAGCTAAACCATCGGAATGTCTYGCTGCTGAATGTTTTTCATTCTTCTCTGAATTTTTTGTGTTGATCAGATCCTAAAACATGTGCTGATGTGGAGCTGGATAATCCAGAGTGGGAGATTAAGACTATAACAAGTGCAATCAAACATTATCTCAGGTTTGTGTCAAAAGACTTTTCTTATTGCACATGCACACACGCTTTGTTTTGCTCCATAATCCCCATCCTAAGCACATAGACATATTTTTTTATTTTGTATTTCTGAATTATTCCTGATTTTATGAAATGTAATTTTCCTATTACTCTTTTCTCTTCCCACATACAAAATAAATCTACTGTCTATTTGACTTTTCAGTAAAACAGTGCAGTATGTGCATTTCCTACACGTTTAGTTTAGATATGAGCTGGATTTATTTATTATAATTGAGACCTTGCTTTTCTGAACTCAGGTTTTACAAAGTTATAATAAAGTTATAATACTGCAGCTGCTGCGTACRTCAGTCAGCACTTTCTCTTTAGAGAAATATGACAGATTTGCTATCAGCCAGCTGAGTTAAAAGCTACATGCATGCTGGCCTCTTGACATAGACTGCTGGTAATCCACAAAAATCCAGCTCTGAAAGAAAGAAACTATCGCTTTTCATTTCCTTATTTTCTTTTTAAACTTTTGYTAATCCAGGGAGGGTAATCTTTGCCAGCTGTATTTTAATTTGTGTGCTCACAGTYSCCCCSCTTTTAGGAGATGAATAGATAGGGGAGACTTTATTCATCCCCTGAGGGATTTTTATTCATTTATTTATTTATTTTAGTGGCTGCAGCAGAAGTCAGCAATAGTTTGCATAAAAAGAAATGGTGCAAACAGAATAAATATAAGATGCTGTTCATACAGATAAGAATAAGAGAATTTAGAATAACATTAAACACTGAATGAACATTTCCACATTTGCAGTTATAAAAAAGGCAGTGAATATTCATGTTYTACAGAGAGATGAGTTGTTAAACAGTGAGACAGAAAATGATCTGACCTCCTGAAGCGTTCCTTGTGACAGCGGAGCTCAATGAGTCAGTTGGAGAAAAAGCTCTGCTGTGCTGCATGATATGAATGGGGTGGGATGGATGAGAGCAGTGGGTTCTGGAACTTCCTGTTTGCCACTGACTCCGATGACMAATCATCTTTTTAAACCTGTCTGTTTCCCATTGGTTGATAATAAACTCCAGGTTGACAAATCCGTGCAAACAAAAAAAAAAAAATGGAAATGTTGTTGTGTTCATGGGTGCACAAAAAGGTTTGTTATAAATTATTCTAGATTTCGTAAATAAAAAGAGCAAACATTAGGCTGGCAGAGAGCTATTTGGCACSGACATCAGTGACTCATAAACCGCGGCAGCCTTCAGATCATTATCAGATGTGTAGTCGGCGTTTTACAGGTGTAGCTTCATTTGTTTACTTTAAATAATCCTGTTTACTTAAAGTGTTAACTTGGCGTCTGAGCCTGACACAGTACCAACAGAGCTCATTATCCAGCCCGCACCGAAGTGTGTCGAATAAAATCAACAGAAAGAGCATCATCTGCGAAAGCTCCACAAATAGCTCTACTGTCTCACTTCCCCAGCGTTACAGGTGCAGAGGGCACGCATGATTAATCCATTCTTCTTATTAAGCCTCATTTACAGTTCCAGAAACTTACCACGCAGCCTGAGATGTAATGATCATAGTAATTCATTTGATGCCTCAAAACTTAGCCACACCATTACATTGCCCATATAATTAGAGCTGTATATTGACTTGTATGTGTTCAGAAGCTCCTGTGGCCTGTTCATCTATATTTTCAGTTCCAGTTTGAGTCATTTCTACCTTCYCCTCTCTGTCAACGCTCTCTGGTTTCATTTAAAAGAGTCGATCATCAGATATTGTCCAAGATTAACCTTCAGGGTGGATATAGCTCGCTAGCAGCTTCGCACCGATGACCTATCCACGTTATCATTTACCCAGAATGCTTTGCTTGTAAATAAAATGGCTCCATCTGTGTTGTAATATATTTTTAAAAATTTACAAAACTAAACATCCTACCGTATTTTTACAGTCTTTATTTTACAGTTAAATATATATGTTTATCAAATAAAGTCTAATGTTACAACTAATCAGGGATCCCTTTAAAGAGAAAGAGGCTAATTTAAAAGCTATGATGCAAAGTCTAATTTATTTTTGACAAATACAGCTTTTTTTAAACAACTGAAGGTAACATAGTTACATGATGCTSTAGAATTGAACTAGCCCCCCACCCACCACCATCACCTGAAAACGGCAACAGTCCACTTCTCGGCTCTACCCAGACTAGTTATCAGCTCATCAATCCAGACAGAGTTAAACAGTTTCTCCAAACTGAGCTTCTTCAAAGAGCTATTTACAATAAATAGGGTACTTGCTGCTTAGAACCTTTCCACTTAAAAGAGCTAAACTGAGTAAGCCTTTAAATGACTTCTTTATTTACACCCAATGAGATGACTTAGGCAGGTCAGGAGCAGGCAGCTAACTGAAAGAAAAACTAAAAGGAAGTTGTCGTTTTTTTACCCTCCCCTCAGTCTACCCTATTCTGGGTTTGACACTAACTCTCAGGTGCACACACTTTCAGACATTTCCCATCAACCCCTTCTGCCCACTTCTACACAGCTCTCACACCCTCAGGTCAGGCCTCACCGAGAACCAGCAGGCAACATTACGCTCATCTAGCAACAACAACAACAAAAAAAAAAACTTATGAGAAGTTGCTGAAGGTTTAATGAGCGCTTTTCCACAACTGTTTCCATCTTCATAATGCAGCCAATCTTAAGCTCATTACCTGAGCTGACAAATCCTGTAATTTTTTTTCATTTTTATTTTTATTTTTTCAGAGTGCTGCCGGCACCTCTCATGACGTACCAATACCAGAGGAGTTTCATCAAAGCTGCCAGTGAGTGATTTTCCTTTACACTGTACATCTCATTTGCCTCTCAAATGCGTGCCCCACGGACATTTAAAAAAAAAAAATGCAAACAGCCATTTGATTTTGGAAATAAAAAGAACAAGTATTCAATAAAAAAAGCACAAGTCAAATAAAGAGTGCATACTTTTTAAATAAATTTCTCGAAGAGGTGATTATTTTTTTAATAGCTCACTTGAATTTTTATGATTACAGTAGAATATGAGCCAGAGATTTTACTGTTCTGTTATTAATAGTTTATTGGATGAATTTGAAGCATGCCGACATACTGTATGAATCAGCGTGCACATGACGTGGTCGTGCCCTCCCATTGTTGTGTGTTGTGCCCTGTTTGACTCAGAAAGCCACAGGCCTGCGTGAATGAGGGGTATTATACAGATAAGATTCAAATTGCTCGTGAAAGCAGATGGGGGGCGGGGAGAGCATCTGATCTAAATGGTACGACTTAGTCGAAGTGTATTTCTCAGAGATTTGTTACGTCAGACAGCAGCTGCAAAATGTTCCGGGTCTTTTAAAGACATATTATCTAAACTCTCCCAACTGTCATAGCAATCATTTTAGTCCACAGAATATATTATTTTTTTTTATTTTATTTTTCCTGTAGCTGCTAGGCTACAAAATAAACCCTTGTAAAAACAAACTTGTTCAGATCATAAAATAGAGACTTTCCACCAAATGTCATGAGCTCAATCTGATTATTCAGACAGATTTTGTGCTGCATTGTGGGTGMATCGAGTCAAAATACACAAGCTGTTGTGAATATTGAATAGGTTGGTTTATTCTAGTAAATTCAGGTGCTGTTTAGTCTCATTTGGTTCAGTCCAGCCTGAAAGGGTTCATAGTCCTGTTTTCTCTCTCTAGCTAATCCTTTAGAAAACTAAGCTGCAATGGGAAGGAACTCCAGGAAATGACTTAGTGTCCCTGGCAACATTACCAGGAAGTGGCTCCATACAGAGCAATGCCAGTTGGAGGGAGAAAGAAAGGGCTGTTTTTTGTTTGTTTGTTTTTTATATTTGCATATGCTTAGGAGGGCGGGTTCTAGCATTTTTTTTTCTTTTTCAGCACAACAAAGTACTTTTAAATGTATTTTATAAGTTCATAGTTCAGTGATCGTCCCAAATTGTAATGCATGCTTGTAAATTTTTAATGCTTTCATATTTTTCACCTTCAATACATCCTCATTTGCGTGTCACCYGGTTGCGTGTGAATGTGTAATTACGCGCCTCTGTCGTTGTGAATAATTTCTCCAGGGCTCAGGTCCTGCAGCAGCAGCAGCAAGGTTTTGTGAGGACAGCGTCCTGGTTTAAACTCACTTTTGGCACCTCCTCCCTCCCTCCTCCCCATATCACATCTTCTCCAATTCCTCCCACCTCTGAGCYCCTCTACCTCCTCAAGTTTCCTCTTTAGTGACTTTTATTCAGTTTTGAATGCGCAGCTTCGAATATCAGGGCGAGAATGAAAAACAAAACAAAAACAAAATTAAGACAAAGGTATAATAAAAATGATGGAAGTGGTGTGGGAACAGGGCTGGTGTGAGGGAGAAAAAAAAAGCAGTAAAACGATGAGGAGGAGGCGGAGCAGAGGGAGTGGCAGGGTTGARCTTGATCTGAGATTTGAGATGCCTTTCGTGCTTGGAGACAAGAAAATACAGAGGCTGCAGCTGCTCGACGTGCAGAGCTCCAGTTTGGCTTGCAGCATTGTTTTCACCAAGAACTCTTTTCTCTGTTAGTTTTTATTCAAGAATTTTCATTTTCGCAAATTAGCTTTAGAGCTCGCCCTGTACCGATGTGTTGATCGCACCCTCCCAGTTACGTTTTTGTCAGCTGAGTTTTGCTGCATAGACATACAGATTTACCAACTAAATTTATTTTCTTTCTATATATAAACAACTTTTTTATATGTAATAATAGTAATGATCTCATAAAACAGCAAACTGATTTATTTGTCCACAATGTTCATCTTGAGCAGGGGCCTGCAAACTTTACGATCAAGAGAGACATTTCTGATACTGACGCAGTGATAAAATGTGTCCAGAGCTGCAAAATAAGCTACAACTGTGATTATCAACTGGTGGTCCGCGGGCCTTTTTGAGGCCATTTTGGGAACCTCTACGGCCAGTGGAGGTGATATAATAAAACTAAAAAATATATAACGAATTTTATTATTTATAATTTTTTTACCCATCAGAAAAAAATAAAAAGACCAGATTCATGTAAACAAGAAAAATACCATCTATAGTTTATACCTAATTTTATAAAATCTAGTACAACTGAGTTATTCAGGCATATTTTTTTCTAATTCTTATTATGTAGTATTTAATGTTCTTTAAAGGTAATTCTGATGGATTTGAAGGAAAGATCATAGAAAGAAGTTGGATATATGGTGATAGCATTGGGGCTAATGCTAAAGCTAACAGGCTAAGCTGAGGTTCTTCTTCCATGAAGCAGCTCTGTTGTCCTCCATCTATATTTTCAGTTACAGGCTGAGCCAATCATCAGATATTGTCCAAGATTAACCTTCAGGGTGGATATAGCTCGCTAGCAGCCTCGCAC